ATACTCCGCGTACTGAAGTTGTACTACAAAGTCGCCAGTTCTCATCTGCCAGCTCCCCAGATACTCCGCATACTAAAGTTGTACTACAAAGTTGCCAGTTCTCAGCTTCCAGCTCCACAGATTGCTCCGCAGATGCTGTGCCTGCCACGAAATCTGCGCATGGAGGTTACAGGTTCACAAAGTGCTGTGCCTGCCACGAAATCTGCACCTCAAGGTTCACAAAGTGCTGTGCCTGCCACGAAATCGGCTGCGCCTGCCACGAAATCTGCGCATGGAGGTTCACAAAGTACTGTGCCTGCGACGAAATCTGCGCATGGAGGTTCACAAAGTGCTGTGCTTGCCACGAGCTCTGCGCGTGGAGGTTCACAAAAGTGCTGTGCCTGCCGCAAAATCTGCGCATGGAGGTTCACAAAGTGCTGCGCTTGCCACAAAATCTGCGCATGGAGGTTCACAAAGTGCTGTGCCTGCCACGCAATTGCCACGAAATCTGCACATGGAGGTTCGCAAAGTGCTGCGCCTGCCACGAAATCTGCACATGGAGGTTCACAAAGCGCTGTGCCTGCCACGAAATCTGCACAAGGAGGTTCACAAAGTGCTGTGCCTGCCACGAACTCTGTGCACGGAGGTTCACAAAGCGCTGTGCCTGCCACGAAATCTACACATGGAGGTTCACAAAGTGATGTGCCTGCCACGAAATCTGCGCTTGGAGGTTCACAAAAGTGTTGTGCCTGCCACGAACTCTGCACATGGAGGTTCGCAACAAAGTGCTGTGCCAGCCACGAAATCTGCACTTCAAGAAACAAGTGAAAACTCTAACCGTAATGGAGGGACGATTCCGAGCATGATCCGACCATGACCCGAGACCGTCTCGCAACCGTCGTTCCGCGGAGCTTCCCCATTGAGGTTCGGAGAAGCGTGGAGGTTCACAAAGTGCTGTGCCTGCCACGAAATCTGCGCATGGAGGTTCACAAAGTACTGCGCCTGCCACGCAATCTGCACATGGAGGTTCACAAAGTGCTGTGCCTCATGGAGGTTCACAAAGTGCTTCGCCTGCCACGAAATTTGCACATGGAGGTTCACAAAGTGCTGCGCCTGCCACGTAAACTGCACATGGAGGTTCACAAAGCGCTGTGCCTGCCACGGCATCTGCACTTCAAGAAACAAGTGAAAACTCTAATCGCAATGGAGGGACGATTCCGCCCATGATCCGAGAATGATCCGACCATGACCCGAGCGTGACCCGAGACCGTCTCGC